CCTCACTCTAAAGAAAAGTCCCTTTGTTCAAGTCGAAGCTTCTATGTGTGAGGTAAGATATTCTCGGTGTCAACATGGCTCAGAGATGAAAGCAGTTGAAGGCCGTGCAAGCTCTCGGAGAAGAAATCTGTGATTTGATCTCCAATAAGTTATCTGACTTGCCAACTGCTTCGTCTTCTGATAGCGAGGGCAGTGCCAGTGGCAGTGACAGGGGCCCCCAAAATATTGTGACCAGAAGAGAAAGTGAAAGTGACAGTGAGAGCTCCGATGAAAGTGTGAGTGCTAGCATTGTGGGGACAGCCACATGGGGTAAAGTGGACAAAACACCCATTTTGGGAAAGTTTACTGGTGATCCAGGGGTGAGACAAATGCCATCGGACCCTACGCAAGTGTCCGAAGTAGTTGAACTGTTTTTTGGAGATAGTTTCTTTGACATGTTGTGTCAGGAGACCAACCGATACTATCTCCAACACCGTGAGGCATACGACAGTACCTATAAGGCGTTGAAGTGGGTGGATGTCACTTCAGCAGAAATAAAAATTTCTTTGGCAATAATCATTCTAATGGGGTTTACAAAGAGGGATAATTTGAAAGACTATTGGTCCACTGATCCATTTCAGAAATTCCCATTTTCGGCAAACTCATGAGTCGTAAGAGATTTGAACAGATATGGTGGTGTTTGCATTTCAATAATAATGAACTGCAACCACAATCAATGGGCAGGCTTTTCAAAATTCAGCCCTTATTAGACTTTTTCGTTGAGAAATTTCAGACAGTTTATAAGCCAGGGCAGCAACTGTCTTTGGACGAATCTGTAATTCCTTGGAGGAGAAGGCTTCATTTTAGAATGTATAATCCTGGGAGACTCACAAAGTATGGCCTACTTGTTCGTGTAGTCACGGAAAGCACTTCAGGCTATACTGGAAATTTAGAAATTTATTCCGGTGAAGGCAAGAAATTGCAAGAAACTATTGTTTCCATTTTGGATCCCTATCTGGATCAAAATTATCACGTTCATCAAGATAATTTTTATAACAGTGTGGCAACTGCAGAATATCTACTTTCAAGGAAAGTACCTATTTGTGGTACAATTAGGGTGAACAGAGACCTTCCTCCAGATCTGAAAGAGAAATGTAAATCCCTGAAATGTGGTGACACCACATTCAGGAGGAAGGGGGACATTCTTCTTCAGTCCTGGAGGGATACTTGTGTTGTGAATATGATTTTCACTATTCACAATTCGAGCATGGTTGATGTTCAAAGACGACACGGGCAAGTGAAGAAGCCTCTTTGCATTTCTCAGTACAATATGTTCATGAAGGGAGTTGATAGAGCTGACCAATACTTCGCCTATTATTCCCTTCCTACGAAAACAGTAAAATGGACGAAGAAAGTTGCACTGTGGCTTATAAACTGTGCACTTTTAAATTCATTTTCGGTTTTCAAAAAGGTGAACAGAAATTCTACTTTGAAATACAAAGCATTTCTGTTGAACTTGGCAAAAACTTGGGCTTCTGACCTCATGGTGGCGGCAGTACCTGCGTCAGACACAGACGTAGTGTAGTCAGGGCCATCTGGTCATACCCGCCGGAGGCCTCATGTGGACCCTCCTGGACGACTCTCAGGTGATATGCGGAAACATACCCTCGTGAGAATTGTGATGAGCGAACAATCGACGGGGAAGTATCCTTCTACGCAGTGCCGTGTGTGCGCTGTGCACAAGAAGCGAAGCAAGACTTCCTATGTCTGCAAGTTCTGCGTCATGCCTCTTCACAGAGGGGAATGTTTCCAGAAATATCACACTCTGAAGCACTTCTAGGAGCTCTGGTAAGTCTTCTCCAAAAATTTTAGTTCATAAAATTAATTAGTAGATTTTATATTAATTTTTAAAGTGAACAGTGCACAAGTTAGGGTAGTAGGTTTAAAAACGCCGGTCCCCAGGGTGATTTAAATATTTAAATCACCGGTCCATGAAGTGTTAAGGTAAAGTGGTCAGAGCATTAGAAACCACTTTCCTTCACCTAATCTGAGGCCTTGAATGCATGAAATTTTACTTTCATGCCAAGGTGCTTAGGCATACTTACCTTTTTACCTTCCTCCCTGTCCAAGAGAACATATAACAGCCAATTTCTGTTAGTAATTGGCAACTGTCCTGTATTAACTAAATACATTACAGCAATCAAATGTGTTACAAGAGGATACAGCTGCACTTATTTTCTAATGGGCATCACACTTCACTAGTTTGGGGAACCACTGAGGGTCTGAAGAAACACCATTCCTTAGATCAAGTGGAATATGCTGTAGTTGCTTCATTTTCAGCTAGTTACAGTGAACAGAAGTGAATGAGATGGTCAACCTGACTGTATGACATGAGCTTCTGAAGTAAATGGCAGCAAGCATTCCCCTAACTTACCTGCTCTTTATTTCTTTACAACAACTACTGTGTTACTGGCATTAGCAATTATTTTAACTTTGCTATACTTTTTAAACTTTTTCTTCTTCTATGGTGCAACAGCCCTCTGTCGGGCCTTGGCCTCCCTTAACAAGCCCCTCCATTCCTATCCTGCGCTGCTCTTTTCCAGTTCCTTACGCCCATTAACTTCTTTGCATCTTCTTCCACCGCATCAATCCGTCTACTTCTTGGTTTCCCCGCATGTCTCCTACCACCTATTGTACTGTATAATATTTTCTTTGGGATACGCTCCTTATCCATTCTCTGTACATGCTCAGCCCATTGCAATCTTTTAAGCTTTATCGTCATTGAGATCTCTGGCTCCTTATATAATTTGTATAACTCTTTATTATATCTTATTCTCCATATCCCATTCTCTTTTATTGGTCCATAAATTCGTCTTAGGATTTTCCTCTCGAAAGAATTGATGACTGATTCCTTTTTCTTGTTTAGCGTCCAACCCTCACATCCATAATAAAGCACCGGTCTTATCATTGTTTTATATATGTTTGTTTTAATCGCTCAGTGTATATCCTTCAATCTAAAAACTGATAGTACGAGAAATATGCATTATTCGCTAGTTTTATTCTTCTCATTATTTCATGATTTTCCTCTCCATCTTTGTGGAATTTTGATCCTAAATATATAAAGTCTTCAACTATTTCTATCCCGTCCCCTTCCATGTTAATTTCTCCAGTTTGCCTTGGATTCCTTCTAGATTGTATCAGCATTTTGGTTTTATTTACATTCACCTCTAAGCCAGTTGTTTTTCCTATCGTTTTTATTTCTTTATACGTCTCCTTCATTCCTCTTGGGGATCTCGATACTATAATATCATCCACATACGCCATTATTTGCGTTTGTTTATATGCTATTGTGTTCCTTGTGTCTACATTACATTTCCTCACTATATGTTCCAATACCAAATTAAATAGTGATGGTGCCAAACTATAACCCTGTTTTAGTCCTTGATTTGTCTTAAAGCATTCTCTTAACTGGTTCTGGATTTTAACTTGATTGATTGTTTCTGTCATGGTTAAGTTAATTATTCTACTTAGTTTTGTTGGAATACCAAAAGTGGACATAATCATCCTTAATTTCTTCCTTATTATTGTATCATATGCATGTTTAAATCTATGAAGTATAGGTAAATATCTATATTAAATTCCCAGCATTTCTCAGTTATTTGTTTCAGGGTGAATAAATTGTCTGTTGTTGACCTATTGGGTCGAAATCCTGATTGATATTCCCCTATTAATTTTTCTATATATGGATCCAATCTCTTTTTTAGGATCCTTGTTAAAATTGTATTTGCTGTCGGTACTAATTATATACCTCTATAGTTACTACATGTTAATTTATCCCCTTTTGTAAATATGGGACATATAATGCTATTTCCCCAATCTTCTGGTATCTTTTCTTCTTCCCACTCTTTATTTATAATTCTGTGGAGTGCTATTATTCCTTCTTGTTCTCCTGCCTTCAATAATTCTGCTGGTATGTTATCTCCTCCTGGTGCTTTATTTAGTTTTTGTTCCTTTAATGCTTCTTCCACTTCTTCCTTTGTTGGAGGCTCTATTATCTCTTCCTCTTCCCCTTCCCCATCATCTGTATTTTCTTCTTCATTGTCCTCGTTATCTTCCATATTCTGATTTTGATTTAATAATTGTTCAAAATATTTGAGAAAATCAAAGTCTGATTCAAGTCTTGTGTGAAGTGGTACTCATCATATTTGACTGATAAACAGCAAAACGAAATTCACTTCAGAAAGTTAGTGTTCACTGCTAATACTAAATCTTATTAAGCCTTGTGGTCTGTAGGTACTGGCATTCCACTGAGAGCCTCTTGAAATGTTCCTAAATTATGAACCCAGGTCGCAACCCACAACAACTTAATACAGACCTCACCTTGTTTCATAGTTGTGCTGGAAATATGTGGTCAGGCAACACTTGCCACTGATGTCTTCATCTCTTTGGTTCTTTTAAGGAATGTGAGAGCATCATTACAAGAATGGCACACTGAAAACCATGCAACAGTGGCTGAATACGAAGGAGACAGATGTTCACAGTGTGAGTACATGCTTTTGCTCATGTAAGACAAATGTTGGGAAAGTCACTATACTGAACTAATTCAGCAACGGTGTGGCTATGCATGTGCACATCTGAGGCATTATTTTCTGACTGACCTCTGCAGAACCAGACAAGGATATTCTCAAGAAATGTTAATTTTCAATTCTTATTTCACTTGTCATCATGAACTGTCTTATAGCCTGGTTTCTTTTATTTAATATAGAAGCAGAACTACAATAGGTTCAAACTGTCACTCAACTGTACCCCTGAAGCTGTCATAGGCTTTGCTCTTGTCCTGCTATGTATTCTGTCTTTACATTTATCACTGCCAATACATAAAAGAGAGACATAGTAAATGGCATGCTCTTGTACTGCTATGTTCTTTAGTTTTACATCTGTCAGTGCCAAAGTTTAACTAACAAACACGAAACAAATGAAGATGAACTTTAACTATACTATAACAAATGTGAACTGCCACCTCAAAATTTAATTTTACTGAAGCAGAGATTCGGTTCTTTATTGTTACATTAAATGTACATATAAAAATTACATGTAAAACAAAACAATGGAGTCAGTATTTAATTACTTTAATGCTTAGAAGAGAAGAAGCAACTAGTATATTAGAAATAGTCTTTGATCAGAAGATTTGATTAGGTGATTTGCACCTCTGCAAATTACATGCTCATGCCATCATTTGGTGACCGGATATCATCAATCTTGAGAATCATTTTCACAAGCTGAGTTGCCAAAACAATCTGCTGCTTCTTGCTGTGCAGAGTCTCAATAACATGCTGCTCTTTCATGTCTGAAAAATAAATTGCAGTACAATATTTGTACAGTAATTTTAAAGTTAACTGATGGCAGAAAACTTCTTAGAAGAAAATGAACAGTGCCATATACAAAAGCTAAAATCTAAAATATGTTACTGTTGGAATATACTTTCAACAGGGACAAAGGGGTATGGTGGACAAAGTGGCACTGGGGTGGGTTTTCTCCGAGTACTTTGGTTTCCCCTGCCAATCTTCAATCCACCAAATTCTCCATCATCATAATCACCGGGGGCAGGTACAATATGTCAATCAGTGGCTGCCATGCGGAGGGAACCCAGCTGGACTCCACCCCCACTAAGCGAATTAAAAAAAATAATTAGTGGTGGTGGGCATTCTCAGAAAGAATGAGCTAGTGAATCTTTTCATCAGTTCCACCAGCCTCACCAGCTCAGCGACTTAAGTTTTACCTTCCTTCTCACGTATGTACACTGAGGTGTTTGCCCCTTCCTAGAATCCCACATGTGCATGTCCCACAATGCCATTTTACCAATCCCTTTCTTCCTTGCCGTTCCTTTGATAGGTATATTGTTGATCAAGAACAGAGCCTCACTCTCTTTGACCTGGGACTTTGAGGAAGACAGAGTGTATACAGACTTGTGAGACATCAAGGCTCTCACATTTTCTACACAATCGATTCAGATGGCGGAAAGGCTGTCAGCCTCACATGCCAGCCGCGCTTTACCCCCAGGAAGATTCCTGGAACTAATTTCTGTTAGAGGATGAGTTCACCCCAGGGCCATAGTGCAGCTGGAAGGATTAGGTCAATTGAAAAATCCAATAACCTCATCAGGAATCGAGCCAGCCGTCTTCAAGCTTGTAGCATAGTGCCTAAACCAACTACACTATTGCGTGCTCCCTATGTACCGTTATCTTTATTGCTACTAATTATGAAGTGGTAGCTATACTTGGCAGCTAGTTACTTTTGGATAATGGTATTATGACTAGTGAACCAATCTAAACACATACTTGTTATTCCATTTTTATTGTTAAATACATTGTTATTCTGTTAAATCATCTCTTCCTCTGGTAAGCTAGTAGCTTCTTTAGCTTATTGTCTACTTGTGTCCAGTGGTCCATGAAAGAGCTAACATATTCTTCTTACATACCTATGTAACCTGCCCATCTGCAGAGTATGACACCAAGAGAATCAGAAATGATGGGATTGACTGTATTTTGAGGAGCAACATGTACAGTACATGTTATAGTGAACTCATACATACCACTGGTACCCTTCAGCATGCAGTCAATCCCAAGAGCAGGGTTGTTTTCCTTCACCTGGCGAGCCTTCACTTCTGTCAATGTGTGGATTGGTGACAGACCAGAGTTCTCTGCCAGGGCTAGTGGTACACTCTCTAGGGCCTCAGAGAAGGCACGGAAAGCGTACTGTTCCAGCGATGAGATCTAAAAAACAACTGCTAGCTAAATATGTCATTTTAAATCTTGTCTAAATTCAGTATGTCCCTGGAAATGAAGAATCTGAATCATAATGGAAGTGCAATGAATAGCAAGACTTACTTTCTGAGATTTTGTAAGGCTTACATTATGTTGTATTTTAGCGTCCTGTTGCACTGATTTTCGTCCATGATATATATATATATATATATACAGTGTCCGTCTTGCAGTGCATCCACTTTTACCTGTCACTTCACAACATGTTTCGGCACCACAGTGCCATCATCAGGTGCTCCATTTACACTAATCTATTGCATTGCATGCCATTATGTCAATGTAAAATTATTTAAAAAGTATTTTAAAATATTTGTCAGTTATAATAAATTTTTTGTATACCAAAATCTTGTTAAGATATTCATCTTATCTGTCCCAATTCAAAACCTGCGCATGGTTCCTCCACTATGGGAGTCGTTCCTCTTATATGCCATGTGTATCATGTCTCGTGATGCGTGTTCCCTTTTTGGCTGCGGGTGTTTATTACAACACCCACAGCCAAAAAGGGAACACGCATCACGAGACACGATACACAAGGCTTACATTATCCATATTATGCAGTTTCAGAGATGACAATGGCTGTAAAATGAAAGAGAAGACTTGAGCCAGAAGCCACAATAATGTATATAACTGCAGTTTATCCAGAATCTGGAACCCGAGCTGTATTTCAATTCATACATACTGAATGGAAAATATTTTATAAGGCTGGGAAGCTTCTGAAGGCCGCTCAGCTTGGATTGAACCAGCACTGACTTCAGATGATTGAGGCTACTCGCATCACTTTCTTTCACACTGCATCACACCAGTACACAGTGAACTCCCAATTTAGTGTTCCCAGACTTCATACATTTTCTGGTTCCAGCCAAACCCCATATATAAAAAATGCACTATTTTCCACATGTAGTGAATTCTGATTTAGCATATGACCTATATTTTACATAAGAAGTTTCAAACTTCCAGAACTTGTACCTCACTTTAGGGTAACTGTACAAATGAAATTCAATACTCACATTTTTCTCTGACAGAAACTGTTACTCAAAACCACAGTCTTTGGTGACCAAGGTACAAAATGCAGCACACATAAAACCCACACCGCTCACTGCATCATAGTTGCTTTGATTCTTCATTGGGGAGCATGAGTTTTTATTTCATGTCTTTCCTTATTTTTAAATTAATTTTACATTATTACATAACTGTACTTTTCTGTGTACAAGATCTTTCTTTTAGCATTTATTTCCTTAGCATAATTAGCACAGTATACTTTAAAACAACATTTCTCAACCTTCATACCTTGGAGAAACCCCTGAAATAATTTTCATGTCTCGGGGAACCACTGCAAAAAATTATGATAAAGGTATGCTCTGGGTTTATTGTAAACAAAGGTTGTAAACTGAGTTATAGAATAACTGATAAAACCATCCAATGTGATTCAATTTGTAGATATTTACTGTCTTTACATGTTTCAGTCAGCTGTGAACATCTTCAGAAGGTATGGGATCAACATGTTTAGGAACTACTATTACAAAGCTCATAATACACAGATAGAAGCTATTATGTAAAAAGGTATTTACAATTTTATGAAAAAGTTAAATAGTTCCATCCAGTGTGACTGGTTAAGAGTTTTTTTCCTTATTTCAATTATTCATGCCCTTACATGTTTCGGTCTTCAGAGACCATCTTCAGAAGAACACCTTTATATCAATACAATTAGAAGCCACTATTACAGAATATATTTTAACTTTTAGAACATGTACTGTAATAGTGGCTTCTAATTGTATTGATATAAAGGTGTTCTTCTGAAGATGGTCTCTGAAGACCGAAACATGTAAGGGCATGAATAATTGAAATAAGGAAAAAAACTCTTAACCAGTCACACTGGATGGAACTATTTAACTTTTTCATGATATTATTAGTGTGACAAACCAGACCGAAACAAATCAAATTTATTCACAATTATTTATATTAAAGATCTTATTAATGTCTTATATTTAAAATCCTGAACCAATATGATTTTTGTCCTTATGCCTCTTCTGCTAAAACAGAAAGTTGGGGTATTACTTGGCAAGCAGTGGTCCCACTTTTTTAGCTCGTTAAGATTCTGCATTGTTTTGAAGTTGTGTTGGAGAGCAGTAAAATGATACATGGCCCATGAAAGAGCTTTTCCCATGGTATTTCTCCTTATAGACCAGAAATGCCAAGAAGAGTATCAAATCCATACAATGACCTTGATATTTTCATCAGATGTATTATGCTTTGTAGCTTACCTTGTCGGCCTCTTGTGAAGTTGCAACTGCACATGCAATTTCTGCTGCTCCACCACCATACACCACTCTGTTATCCTGCACCAGGTTGCGTACCACGCAAAGGGCATCATGGATACTGCGCTTTGCTTCTTCAATTATCTGTTGTGTGTCAAAAATTGAAATGTCACCATACTAAATATAATCCCACTGTGGTGAAATTAGCCGCTAATTTAATAAACTGAAATAGGAGCCATACATTTTAAAACTGTGCTACCAAATACTGGAGTTCACCTACATATGTGTATTTTAGTATTTCTTGTAGGTGAAAAGTCAGCTTCATGCACCAGCTCCTTTACCCCAAGTGCTCATTGTGTGGGAGGCTGGGTGGGCCCCAGAACGAGTTTAGATGATACAGAGGAGATTTCCCCTACTGGGACTTGAACACCTATCCCTCAGTCATCCAGCCCATAGCCAGTCACTATAGTGACTGCGCAGTGCTATAAAATAATCCACCAGAACAGCTGGTAATACAGCAGACACTGGACCTAGGTACTTCCTACAGACAGACACTGACTGCTGCTACTACCACATCAGTTTGCAAAAATCAAACAAATTCCGTGGTTTCATTCCGCAAGTAAGCTACACCGACTGAGTGACCACCACTTGTTGGCGAAGTTAGTGCCAACTTTAGCAGAATAGAGGGTGTCGCATGGTCAGTGCAACAAATCCCCACGGCCATTAATTTCGGGTTTCTAGACTGGAGCCGCTATTTCCTTGAAACAGCTCATCAATTATCCTCACAAGGTTGAGTGGACCCCGTTCCAGACCCACTACTTCTCAGAAAATCTGGTAGTGCTGGGAATTGAACCTGGACCTCTGGATCTGTAGGCAGGAACTCTGACCACTAGACCACAGAGATGGTCATCAATTTGCAGAGTATTTGAAAAAACTATTCTCTTCATTTCAAGTATGGAGAAAGGTTAGCATTCTCGGTGAAAATCAAAAATATATTTAACAGAGTAATAAAATTAGCTGGTGTTCATCTTTTAATAGCAACACAATTGTGTTCTTATGATGCAAAGGACACATTTCTTCATAAAGGTGGTTTAATCCTTATATTTACCAGCATCCACAAACAGCATCGTTAATCTCCTGCTACATATCTGGGAGGTCCTGCTTTCAAATTTCAGCCCGAAGTTGACATTTTCCAAGGCCTTCCTCTGTCCCTCTAGCAAAATACTGGAAGAGCACTTCAACTTATGCTATAGATATTTCCTTCCATATTCTTTCCACTTCATTATTCACTAATAACTGTACCATCCAATACTACACAGTCTAAGTTAATCGACGCACAAGCCAAAAACAAATATACAAAAAAAAAAAAAAAATAATCAGCATCAGTGACATATTTAGAATATCCATGGTGCTGCTACTTTTGGGTGTCCTTTGCATGACACGTTCTTGATATTCCATGTTTTACATGCATTAAAAGATAAAAATCTGAATATTTTATTCTATTCCTTATAATTACAGAGTTGAGAGTTACTGCCCTTTTGCTGAGAGGTTTGACAGAAGCAATAATAAATAACAGAAATGCGTCCTGCTTACAATTGTATGACCACCTCTGTGGTCTAGTGGTCAGAGTTCCTGGCTACAGATCCAGAGGTCCTGTGTTTGATTCCCAGTGCTACCAGATTTTCTGAGAAGTTGTGGGTCTGAAACTGGGACCACCCAGCCTCGTGAGGATAATTGGGGAGCTATTTCAAGGAAATCACGGCTCTAGACTAGAAAACCGAAATTAACGGCCATGGGGATTTGTTGCGCTGACCACGCAACACCTTCTATCCGATAAAGTTGGCACTAACTTCGCTGACAAGCGGCAGTCGCTCGGTCGGTATAGTTCGCTTGTGGACTCAAGCCACGGAGTTTGTTTTTGTTACATTTATACATGACTGACACAACTGATTTGGGGAATTTTGTAAGTCAATAAAGTGGAGTCTTCATCTAATGTTTCTCAATTTAAGTTTTTCCCTCATACAGTGAGTTGCAGTGGTTTTTAGTACTAACTGTGGAAAATCTTAAGTACAGATAATTTAATGCTAAGGCTACTTACTCATTTGGGTTCAATGTAACTGAAAATCAAATGGATGCTAACAGGTTCTATTCTGTGTGGCAGTAACAGAAGTAACGTTGCTTCTGCACTTCATACTCTGATGGAACCTTCCATCAGTGTAAGTGTAAGACAGAGTCAAAAGAACAAGACCTATGCATCTTTGAAATAGAGACAGGAAACCAGTGAGACATGCACAGAAAAGTTTGGAAGATTAACATTAGCATCATTTCTCAGCAACACAGCAGTCTTCTATTTACCATCTTATTTCCTCCTCGAATAAAAATTGTGACAGCCCGTGAATTCTTGCACTCTTCAATCACAAGCATACGATCCTTGGTGGTTCCAAACTGAAGTTCTCGTACAAGACCAGCATACCCAAGCTTGTCTGCGGACAGTTCCTCAAATCGGGGAACTATCCTGCCTCCTGTGGCAATGGCAATCAACTGCAACAGAATTAAAACATGAAAGTGTTTTTTTCTTTGTGAAATCACATTGGATCATCGAGGTAAAAACGGATAAGAAATGAAACGCCTTCGTCCAAATCTAACGTTTACTGGAGACTGAATGAACATTACAAGATACCAAAGGTACACACAGAAAGAAAGTAGCAGTGGGTGTGGTACCAACTTATGAACAATATATATCACCAGATAAATATGGCCAACACTAAAACTATAGTATTACAACAGAAAGAGAAAAGGAATATACAGGAAAAAGAATGAACATAGCTAATAAAGTTAACGTTTGATTTAAGCATGAATCTGGGCCTGAGAAACTAGATCAGCAGCAAATTAAAATATTCCTTCTCGTATCCCACATAATAAAAACATCGTGTTCAAGGATCACAACAAGAACACTATGAAAGGATCAATTACATGTACATACAATCTTAACATTTGGGAAGAAATTGTTAAATAATGTTCACTAGGCAGCAAATATAGATTCAGGAAGTGTCAGAAATTCAGTTTCTTTAGAATTCTGAGTAAGACTTGCTGCTACCCCCCACACACACACACACACAGTTTCTTACAGGGAAAACCTGCCAAGTGGGATTGGTACTGATTTGCTCCAGGTCAATCAGACTTAGCTCTAAGTCCATATATTTCACTAAAAGGTGGTTTACATGACTCTGTCTTGGTCTTTCCCTGCATATTTAGCTAGCTAAGTACTACTTATTAGTTCTGGTATTCGTCTAATTACAAATATAAATTCTAATTGTTCTAATATTGAGTTCAGGTGTATACACACAGCTTAATTCCTCTAAGGATGAGATTGATCCTGGGGGCTGTGCGGGCTGACAGAAATTCAACTGCGCCATAAGCCCAACATTTCATCTGTAATGCAGTTTAAACATACTATGAATTGTGCTTAGCTGCAGCTCCCCTGCCGACTATACTCTGATTCAGCTTATTACCTTAGTTAAGAAAAGATTTTTCATGTGTGAACACTGCAGGAAATTACAGTTTCTTCTGTCTGCTTCGTGAATTCCACACAATATTCTGTGGATGGGAATACCAAATTATGGAATGTTCACCATTATTCCAAATAACTTATGCTTTTAGAGGGAAACAGTTCCAACAATAAATACACCATTTTATGTACAATGCTCGATTTTTTGACATGCAATGGCTTAAGAAGGTGAAATTATGAAACATTTTCTTACATTTTTTCATCTTCTGCTTAGCAAACATATTTTATTCTTTCCTCATTAATTATAACAAAAAAGTTAATGTCCATTATTTAACGTCTGTCAATATTGCAACACTCTTCCACTCACCACTCAATTTTTAGTTTAACATTATACACCTTGACACTACATGTTTCAGCCCCAAATGACCATCTTCAGGTGTCTTGATATGTTACAATTATTTTAATAAATTGTGTTAAAACTGCTACACTGTCTTAGTTTGTGTTAAAATCACATGCTGTAGTCCTCTTTTCAAGGTAAAACCAGATAAAATCCTTTAAAGTTTCTATTATACCCACGTTATTTTGGTGCATATTATTGACGGACGATAAATAATGGACGTTAAGTTGAACAATTGCAATGGGATGCTGAAATACAGAATAACAAAAAAGACTTAACCATACTTACATGAAAATAAACCTCAAATCAAGACTTACTATGGTATTACTGGGAAAGATCATGCACTTTATGAATCTTATTTAANTCTGCTTCCATCGCCGAGATACCGGGCGCTCATATTATAAGGTAAGATTATAAAACCATCTTTTAAGATTATTTTAGTGAAAGNGTAATACATAAAAGTGGTGTGAATACAGTATCCTCAGATTGGCTTAATGTTACACAGGGAGTGCTTGAAGGGTCTGTATTAGGACCTTTGTTGTTTGTTGTTGTTGCCTAAAATATTAAATACATTTTCTACAGCTATAATTTCTGATGATACTAGCATCTCATTTTCACATTCTAATATAAATGATCTTAACAGGAATATTCTCATAACAATTTAAATCTCAAATGGATGGTTATAATATATAAAAAATTGTCTTTAAACTTTAACAAGACACATTGTATTCAATTCAAAACAAAGACAGTAATGTCAGATACTTTTACATTAAATCATAATAAGAAGTTTATCAACAGTACCCTCAATACTAAATTCTTGGGAGTTACAACTGACAGTGCCTTAACCGTTCAGCGTGGTTTGACGTGTATGTTTCGTCAAGGTAGGGTTAATATGGAAGAATCATATTGATTTACTTGTAAAAAAATAAAGGCTTGTTACATAATTAGAAATATGAAAAACTTTATGTCTATTTCAGCTCTAAAGGTAATCTATTATTCCTTTTTTTACTTCTTAATGAGCTACTGTATCATCTTTTGGGGAAACTCATCTCGTAGTTCTACTATTTTTCTTCTAAAAAAAAAAGGCTATCAGAGCGATGTTGGGATATGGCAACAGAGTTTCGTGTAGAAACATATTTAAAGAGTTAAATGTTTTATCATTTACATCACAATATATATTTTTTGTTGTTAGTATTTGTATTGCAAAATAAAGTTCTTTTTCCATCAAACATTGATTCTCATACTACTGATACTAGACAAAGACAAGATTTATATTTACCTCAAGCTAATTTAACTATTTATCAAAAAGGAGTTTATTATGCGGGTATAAAAAATTTAATAAATTGCCCATAGATATCAAGAACACATCTAATAATTTTAAAAAGTTTAAGATTGCATTATGGCATTTCTTGAACACTCATACGTTTTATACGGTGGATGAATTATCTAAATAGATAACTTTTATTATTGTTGTATTCACCGTACTGTCTTGCTGTATAATAACTATATATGTATTCTATGCTATTATTTTATGACATGTTCTATATACATCTTCTGATTTCTTGAACTTACAGTAAATACAAATACAAATACTGACTGTTTGTTCCCATCATGGTACCAAATGATTTAAATCAGAAATTAGATCAAAATGTTAATAGGAATATTGTAACAATGAACAGTACTTCCTACAGCTAAACACTGCTGTACTTAGTATGAAGTCTGATCAGTGTCACTTTATTATTGCATGGTGTCTGACCAAACAAACCAATAGGAAATGGAATTTGGAATTCTGCCATGCTCAGTCTGTTCAATTATAAGAACCAACACCAACCTCAATCTCAGGGCCACCAACCCAGCGCACAGCAGGCAGCTGACGTTGCAGCAGCAGGTGGTTTGCCTCATCATCAAAGCCCCACTGACAGATGGCAAGAGTTGCACCAGCATCTTTCACCTTCAAACAAATATTACCAATTGTGACTACAATGAGAGGAATTACCAGATGCTGCAAGCAACATGTGACTGCCAAACATCTCAATTTCTTATGGGTACCTTCTCTTCAGTGCTTCCACTTGTATAAAGAACAAAGAGAAATTTTACATTAATATTCATCTCATCCATTTACTGCTACATTAAGTCTTAATTGTATATGGCTCCAACTTAGAACTGTAAAACATAACCTGAAGAGTTTGTGTCACGGGCATATGTACATTCTTCAAGTAAAGTTTCCCTCTGAAACTTGCAGAAATGTTTATAAACTGATGGAATACCTAATTTAGCTACAATGATCTTCAGGTATTAGCATCAGTCCTAAAAGTGAATAAATATTTAAAATTGCCATCAAGCAGCAACCCAAGTTGGCCAAATATTATATATATGCGGCAGGACACATGCTCTCTTTCGGAGTGCTGACAGTTTGACCTTGGGTTTGAAACCGCAATAAACCTATGTGAGGTCATGTCAGTAGTTCATTCCTTAGCTCTGAACAAAGAAATCGTTTACCTTGATCCTGGTTTCGAAACTATTTATGTTTATATATGACTGCTTATGACCTGGTCAGCCAAATATAGCCCAGCTTTGTTCTGAGAACTGAAGAGGAAATATTCGTCAGTGCTTGCAGATCAGTGCTTCCAGAGCTTTCAAGGAAGTGTGACATATTCAAGGATTGGTTTTCAGTGGCGAATTATCAGTTAGGAAGTCAGTGTTGGATTGTGTAATATTTCTTTTTCGCTTAAAAAGTTAGTGTCGGACTGTCACATATTTCTTTTTATATTATTTTTGTGTCTCGGATGAGGTATAAACCCACTGAACCAGTATTACTTTGTGAGTAAGAGGCATCTTCGTCACTGTGACTTTCCGTATCAGTGTCGGACTGGCACCTTTTTGACTACTATTACAGTTATTATTTTTTATTGCTAGTGGGGTGGGACTAAGTCCCTTCTACTGCTGCCACTTCTAGCCTATTGTACCATACTATTACAGTTACTCTGCATCACTATTTTGCAAGTCTTTGTCAATCAACATAATTTATTCGATTTTGCAGGAACCCCCCCCCCAAGATGGAACCTCAAAAACGTGCCCGTTATTCCAAACTTCTCAATGCAGAAGAACCGGAGGAAATATTGATGGAAGAGAAATATGATTAAGAGTTAGAAGATATCAATGAGTTCATTGAACCACGAGCAAATATGTTGTTGTTGTCGTCGTCATCGTCATCATCATCATCATCATCATCAGAGGCAGAGGCAGAGGAAACGGAAATTAGGTTTCACGATAGAAGACGCAGGGATTCGCCAAAGGTACTAGACTTCACTGGTCCTCCGAGAGGAATCAACAGATCAGCTGCTCCCAATATAAATGCACAGTCCTCTCCTTTTTTCATTTTCATCCTGTTTTTCCAACAAATATTCCAAATCTTGTTACAAGAAACCAACAGATATTTCCACCAATTTATTGTATGCCAAGATGCTCCAGGCCCTTCTGTTCAACCGCCTGACGTTACAATTAAAGAGATATATAACTTTTTGGCAATAATTATTCAAAGGGGCCACGATCAACAAGACCCCCTCAAAGATTATTGGTCAAGAGATGAGCAATACTACACTCCATTCTACCTTAACACCATGGTACGAGACCATTTCTTCCATATTTTGAGATTCCTACATTTTGAAAATAATGAAGCTCCTCCAAATCGAGATGACCCAGAGTATGATAGGCTCTGGAAAATTAGAAAAATTTTTGACAATCTCAACAACAAATTTTGTGAACTTTACAATCCAGCAGAACGTCTTGCTGTTGATGAAGTCATAGTGTTGTTCAAAGGAAGAGTGATTTTACGTCAGTATATTCCAAAGAAACGCTAAAGATTTGGTATAAAAATTTACAAGCTTTGCGATTTTTTTGGGTATACTTATGACATGACATTTTATTTGGGCAAACAAAGGCAACTTGCGACAGAAGAAATTACATTGACACATGGCATTGTTTTCCAGCTAATTTGAAGAGAAGGCTTGGGACACAAAAGTTATATGGACAACTATTTCAATTCTCCTGCTTTATTTGATGATCTTTTAGACAGGAAAATAAATTCATGTGGCATCGTTCACAGTGATAGGCATGCAATGCCACAAGAAATTCGGCCCAAGTGAACGAAACTGAAAAAAGGGGATATTGTTACAAGAGTCAAGGGGCATCTAAGTGTTGTCCGTTGGAAAGACAAGCGTGATGTGTATGTTCTGACGAATTTGCACCCTCCTCCATTGGAAGGTAACTTCCAAGATGAATCTGGCCACGCTGTCAAACCCCATGTAACTGAAGATTACAATGCACACATGGGCTTTGTTGATAAATCTGACAGGATGGTAAACAGTTATGGCATTGCTAGGAGGACATGGAAGTAGACAAAGAAACTGTTATTCCACCTTCTAGATATGACTATTCTAAATGCATATCTATTACACAAGTCATGTGGTGGAAAAATGACACACAAAAAGTTCCACGAAATATTGGTGCGGGATTTGATTCTTCAATCGCATGAGGCAAATATCACAGTCAGAGGTGTTTCTCAGGGGAGGCCAAGTTCATCTGCGGTCCAACTCAGTCGACTGGAGGTGAAACATTCACAACACTGGCCAACCAAAGGAAAACAAAGACGACGTATTTGTTCTCAGAATAAGAAGCAGAAGCATGCTCTACTACTGTAAAAAGTGTGACGTTGAGCTGTGTGTGATCGACTGCTTCGAGAAGTGGCACACGTGCGTCAGAGTGAGTTATCGTAAACTGTGAAGTGACGCAGTTCAAACTCGCATACAGTCTGAACAAAATATTATTGTATATAGTGTGATTATATTTACAATATCACCATGATTCAAGATTGAAGAAAAATCAATGGGTAAGTCCTTTGGAATTTTGTTGGGGTTTTTGGGGTTTCACAATTTATAACCTTATTCGCAATAATCAAATCACGCTATTGTCAGTAGACTTCACGTACTAATAACACGGGAGCTATACAAGTCTCCCTGAATTACACACTTTCACTCGTAACACGCCGCTGGCCAGTAGGCTTCCTCGGAACTAACTCGGAGGTAGCTCCAGGACTAACTGTGAATAGCCTTCGCTGCTCCTATGTAGCCTCGATCGGACAATACAGAAAACGGCCACGTAATAGGCACCATTACGTCTGGTGCCATCGTGCCAGCAAAGCTGTGTACCGCTATTACTACCGCCGTCTCTCGCAACCACTGTTTAACCGCGCTGCCTAGCAACCCGCGGTACATCTTGGTGATGTCACCGCTGTTGACTCGCGTTGCATAGCTACCAGGATGCTGGGACTCGGCTAACTTCGGCTCCGCTCGGCTCACTTCGGCTGGCGGGGGGGAGGGGCGTCATCCATAGCTCAACATGTCACAATATAATAACTTTTGAGCAGTTGTTTGTGGAGCAGGAATTTTCCAGAATGCTACTTCCTTGAGCAGTCGGGCAGTCACAAGCCAAGAATGTGCTGCTCATGTCAGTGTGAAATCCTCAGACTGGTTCTCAAAGTGGTTCAGAGCAGTTATTAATCTTGCATGGTGTATTATGTACAGGATAGCTAAAAATAAGAGGCTATTCAGTATCACCACACATGCAACACTTTTACGTTTATTGCAATTTACCTGCTGAACCATCTCAGAAAATTTCTCAGCTTCATAGTGACGTAGAGCCTTATAGTCCTCCACCGATGTCACATCAAGCTTGTGCTTTGTTTTCGGTTTTGGTGGCTCAAACGGGCATGTCAAGATTGCCAGTTTCACATCCTTTAGGACCTGTCACAGAGAAACCATAAATGTTAACAAAAATTATCAGGAAATTTTTACAGGACTTGCCAAAAATATTCCACTTTATGTAATGACATTACTTTGATAATACTCTTGTACCTTGTGCTNGCTACAGAACCCCCCCCCCCTCTGCCAACAATCAAAAGGCCAGAGAGAAGAATACAGCCTCTGTGATGTAAAACCATGTAGCTCACATTCCAAGAGCATAATCCTCACATCTGCCAGTGTAACAGCCTCTAATCTCACAAGGCTGGAGATGTGTACTCCTAAGAAGCAGAAGAACCATTGTCCAAATGTCACTTTATGAATCTGCATTCCTCTTATTAAAGTTCACATATCACAGATACAAACCAATTTCTTTGTTTCCTTCGTCTTTTCCAACTTGTGCTGAACTCTTGTGGCACAAATTGGTGCTAAAACTCTGTACCACTAAGCAACATACAAGACAAAAAGATAATTAGGAACATCATTAGTTCTTGTGCTTCATGATAACTCCAACAAACAAAACGGAAATATGTAAATTTACAGATTAGTTCCCAAAGTCTTTGTGTTCATTTATTGCAGATACAAATATATTACTCACACTAATCAGGACTAGAATACCATGTGTCTGATCAAACACTTCACGCCAAAGGCATCAGAAACAGGTACAGTGGGGGGGGGGATGGCAGCTTTCTGATTTTTATATTACAAAAATATTCAAATTTCTTTCTTTTTCCATTTTTAACTTCCGTCCACTCTTAGGACAAAAGTATTAACAAATGCTAACAAAAATCTGTATGCTTGTTTGAGGGATACAGGTTTTTCCATTGTATTTCATTACACATCATAAGATTAACAGTTTCTGAAAAACTGTATGAGCTTGATCTGAGCTCCATGGTAAGGACTTATACTGAACCAGTACACCAGAAAATAAAATTTTCCCAACAACTTCTGCTATAAACTCCAATACAAAATTTAATCAAAATCTATTCAATATTTTCAGAGTTAAAATATACAACTGGACAGATAGACAAGATCTTCAATCTAGTCATCCCCTTTTATGTAATTTTCATTTCATGCATCCTGCTGTGTTACAATACATACAACTTATTTATTAGGCCGTCACAACCCAACAATTGATTGTTGTGTTGTGACGGCCTAATAAATAAGTTGTACACTTTTATGTACTTCATAAAACATGTGAAATATGATAAATAAACATATACAGTTATTACCATATTTTCGCTGAAGAAAAAGTGACCAAAACATGAGACACTCAGTTATTATGGATAACTTCCTCTTCCTTTCACATACCCGTGCACACGTAGTGTACAAATGGACATTAATCTACAAGGTACTCTACATGTATCCTGCTTAACATAAGTAGCAAAGACATGCACTTATGACCTTTCTTGGCCAGTGACAAACAAAATAATTCAAAAAGATTCCAGTGGTTTATTAGTTATTACCATCAAACTGATGGCTACCTAGATTTCATGCAGCCAACATTTTGTTTTACATTCTACAAAACATCACCTTCACAAAAGTTACTAGTTTTGAAAAGATCTGTTAATTACATCATTTTGGACCCTAGTTGTGCAGTTAGTAACAGACATACCACACAAGTTTGTGCATTTATCATGCTTTTATTACTGACTAAGAAATTAAAATGTACAACAATGGCTTGGCTTCCAATGGCATAATTCCAATACTACTTTCCATAAAACCACTCAGCTGGTTCAAAGTTGAAATTGGACATGTGCGTGTGTACGCACAACATGGTGAGCCTACTTTTCCCAAAGGAAGGAAAAGTGAGCTAAAAATGTGCTGCTCACATCAGTATGTGAGATCCACTGACTGGATCCCTCAATGGTTCAGAGCAGTTGTTAATCTTGCATGGAGTATCAGACGAACAACAGTCAAAAATGATGACTACATCGTATTTTTCTCCATGCCACAAATCATGTCATTATCATTTTGAGAACACCATAAATATAGAGCTTGCTCTCTATAGCATAACCTACTCTAGGTATAAATCATCAATTCACATGGATGTGCTAAAAAATGACAAAACTAAGGTAGTCTGAGACAATATTCTACCTAACAAGAAACACACAAATAAAAAATGTGAAACTGTCCACAAATAAAACAAATAAAATTTACAGAATGAACTATTCCAAAACATTACAAACCTATATAAAGAATTACACAGCAGGAGGTACACATCAAGCAAAAATTACTTTCATAAAAAAAGCAAAGTAAACTAGACGACTCAAACGTTAAGAAAAAAACAAGAACAGAAACACAATTATACATTTTCTCACATTTATCAACAACTCATATTTCTTCCAAACTAAAATCTAGTAACTCTCAGAACCCTGCAACAAGAGTTCTGATGGAAAAAGAGTACCTTACTTCGCTGTGAAAACCGAAGGACTAAATATGCAAACCTTAAAACATTTTGTGAGAAAACCTGCATCTAACATTCTCAAATATATCTTCTTAAATATGATTCGGTTTCCTTTGAAACAAGAGTAACAAACTATTGCATTATGCAGTGTCACATCTAGAGGAGAGTAACCATTATGATTTAGTTATGATTTATTTAAGCATTCTGTTGCATTAATACTATAACAATTAAGTTGCATTGTGGACAGAAATATAGTGTGTGAAGAATTTACAGGTACTTCAATTTCCTTTTTCTGGACACTGCAAACACCAAGCATCCATAATCTTCACTCAACCAACGAACAATTCAAAGAAAATTTACCACTTATATGAAGTTAACTCAAGAACAAAGTTGCAATGTGCATAGGGTAACCAGCCATACCATGGTTCTTCCAGCTGCCACAGGCAGTGCTGCCCATCATTCCGCATCATGCAAGTGCCATTACAGTAGTAGTGATCAGTGATTACAGTACAAGCTAATTGAATCTGTGAATGTGCTACAGTACATCCAAAATAATTCACACGTCAACCCCCATGTTGGCTAAGCAGACTCCCATATAAGAATGAAAGTGAAAGAGGAGGAGAAATATAAAAGCATGTCACCTTAGGCATCTGCGGATGTGAGAAGTCCTTGTCAATGACGACTCCCTTGACAAGCATGGTGTCCTCTAAACGACCGCCTACTTTCCCCTCAACTTTGATGAGTTCAAAGTTCACATCTCGCTTCTCCATATCTGCCACAGCCATAACAGCCTGTACAGCAATCTCTGCCATCTGTCGGTGACACTTGTTCACTCTGTGAAACAAATTCACGGTAATTGTGCAAACAAATGATTTATTATTATTTTATTTTAAAATACTGATACATGTGGAACAACGGTCCAGTATTCAAATAACCCTAGGTGCGATCTCAATTGTCACCATCTTGGAATAAATAAATAAATACATAAAAGTGGCCAAAATTATGATTATTAAATACCTAAAGACAGGAGTACAGACAAACCCTGAAATGTTATGTATATCATATATACCTGTCACAAACCGTTAAAGAACCAAAATCAGCTTGTCTCTGTTTCATTACCTATAGAACGCTACGTGCTTGATACACTCAAGACACAATACCACTCATTTCACTGACATAAAAACATGAAAAATAACAGCACTAAGGTACATGAAACACAAAGAGATAGAGGAGATTGACCCATATTACACAATATTGGAGTGATTCTAGTATGGACAAATCTTTACCTTTGTGTGCTACCAAATTTATCGCCCACTGAGAAGGGAAAGAACCCTGTTAGGAACTGTTTTGTGAGCATCTCTCCGATATGAGTGCAGATCTATCAAGTGGTATTGTGGCTCTACATCTCATAAAATACTGTACTCTAAGAAACTATTAAAATGAATAGCAATTCTGTACATAATACAGCAAAACTTGGTTATAGCAACATCGGTTTCTGCGACACCTTGTCTATATTCAATGGTACGAACTAATTCCTCATAGAGCAACTGTTTTTATACCTTGCTTAGTACGACATGCACAAATGCATCAACCTCGTATGTAACGTCATTTTCATTCCTGAATTTCTCTGATATCGTGGGAAAGTTCGATGTGTCTGCCCACCCTCACTTTCTCTACTTGCTGACGTGACTGTCCTGGAAGAATATGACCACGGGCTGCAAGAGGAGCGTGGGTTTTATGCGAAAACAAGGGTGTGGGGTGGGACTGCGTGAATAGTGCAAGAGGACGCGGCAGGTTGTTAACTGCATTCCTTTCCTAGAATCTCGTCTAACAGGACCTCACATTGTCTACTTACCCTATAGTGTTCCTGCCTAAACCCAGAGAAGTGCAGTAGCGAAAACATGGCAATGAAAAGGAAAGTTTTAAGCATTGAAGAGAAAGTTAAAGTGATTCGTGAAATAGAAAATGGAAGGAAAAAAGCTGATGTATGCCGCGAATTTGGTTTGGTGAATTCTACAGTACAAACGATATGGAGAATCCATATTAATTCCACGTTAATATTATGTTAGTCTGTACTTAACTACGTATTTCACTAAAAATGCAACATTTTAACTCGGTCTTTGGTAGATTTTTGCGTGACTAACACAAGGCTACTGTGGAAGTGCCCATTTCGGTTACGACATTCGTTTATAACGACACTATTTTTAGGTCCCTTTGATGACGTTATAACCAAGTTCTACTGTATATATAATTTAAAATAATGTGAAAATATGTCTGCAAGAATTATCAACCATATTTATGATGATCATGGGGCACGCGGTAGTTAGTTGGTTGAGGCACTATGCTACAAGCTGGAAGGTCACAGATTCAGGTTCCGATGGGATCACTGGATGTTTTTCTTCAATTAACCTAATCCTTCCAGCTGCACTATGGCCCTGGGGTCAACTCAGTATAACAAAAATGAGTACCAGGAATATTCTTGGAATATACTTGGGGGTAAAGGGCAGCCGGTGCATAGGGCTGACAACTTTGCTGCCATCTATGAGCCGCTGGTCTAGAAAATGTGGGAACCTCAACATTTCACAACCCTATGGACCTCCATGGCCTGTTACAGGGATACTTGTACTTTTTTATCTATAATCATATGGAAGGATAAAGACAAGCTGCACACAATAAAAATGAACTCAAAAAATGAAAAAATATTAAGAAAAAGGAAAAAACACAGTACAGGGTATTAGAGAAACTTGTAAAAATTTAGACCATAAGAGGCGATGTATTATTCCTGCATTCACTGGATTGACCTGAGATATCATGATGAACTTTAACGATCACATTTGGTACCAGACAGGATCTGAGCCAGGAACATTTAGCCATATTACTGTTATACAAAATATGATTTATACAAGTAGGATTTGAAGTTCTCACAGAGGGGGTTAAGAAAAGTCCTGTCTTCCAGGACTACACAGCAGTATAGCCCAGAAGAAAGAGCTCTCCATGAATTATACTTGCTTAAATGACTTTGTGGTTTAATCTTTTAGAAATTAAAAGGCAACATTTCAGTGTTCAATATAGGATAGCTGGACCTACTTTAATTTTTTACAGTATCACTAGAGACACATTTCAACAATGTGAAGTAGGGTTAGTCAACTAGTGTACAAACAGCATCAGAAAACAAAAATATCTTACATCTTGGAACCAAGCGTTGTCATAGCTGTCTGGATGAGTGGTTCCAGGTTGGACAAATCAACAAGAAAGGTGTCAGCAATTTTCTCCAAGTGCTTCACTGCACACTGAGCTGCCAGTTCAAAGCCATCAGCAATTCGGATTGGATGGATTCCCTTGTCTAGCAACATTTCTGCTTGTTCAAGAAGTGCCCCTGCCAATACTGTACAAATAGTAATATTAATAACAAATTTGTCTTTTCGTACTTAAGATATGAAAGACATCAGATTGCATTTGACAGAGTTCTTTTCCTGGTGTACATTGTCTATAGAATAACATGATGTAAAGTACCATCTAAGTATATGTAGTTTACTTCCTTGTATTGATCACGTCATTAAAATCCTAACATGTTTCGGTAACAACAGACCATCTTCTGAGGGTATACCACATTAAAGGGAAACTTTACACATCACACACACACACACACACATATATATATATATATATTCATTCATTCATTCATTCATCAGTAATCTGTCAGACGACAGGTCCACAGTCTCTTCCAAAACAGTTCCTCCACTTAATGCGATCTAGAGCTTTCTCCTTCAAATGAGAATATCCTCTTCTGTCCCCAAGGTCATCCAGCATCTTCTTACATCTTCTTCCTCGTCTTCTTGTCACTTCTAGCTGCCTCTCTATCTTTCGTTCAATAACTTCTTTTAGAAGGCAGTTACTGCGTAAGATATGACCAATCCAATCAGCCTTCCATTTTCTTATTTCGTGTAGGATATTCCTCTGCTCACTGACTCTAAACAACACTTCTTCATTTCTCACATAATCGGTCCAACTGATCTTCTCCATCCTTCTCCAACACCACATTTCGAAGCTTTCCAGGTGTTTTTTGATCTACTGCCCTAAGTGTCCAAGTTTCAGCCNCATACCAACCTCACCTCAGAGCAAATGGACTCTCCTTTCCCACATCATGCACAGGCGCAGTGACAAGAAGAACAGAGCCTCGTGTTAGCTGGCGGTCTAATGTAGTGTTGTCATGATGTTTTCAAAACAGGAACGGAGTTGGATAAAGACTGAATGTGCCAGAGGCCGTACAGCAGGAAAGTGTCATCAAGGTCTTCAAGAGGCTTGCAGGGAATCTCCATTGCCTTACAGAACAGTGGCAAGGTGGGTAAAAGCCTTCAACATGGGGCGCCAAAATGTGGCAGACGTGCGTCGGCCAGGTTGTCCTAGTGTCAGTGAAGAAGAAGTGTATGCTTTTTCTGTGTTACTGGAGAGTGACTGATGCCATACAATTCACGAGCTGGCCCAAGAGACATGATTAGTGCACATGACTGTGCTCCACATTCTGAAGGAACGCCTGGGCATGAGAAAAACTGCATCATGATGGGTTCCGCATGATTTGACAGAAATGCAGAAATGGCTATGATATGACGCTGCTCGTAACCACTTGGAGCGCTATGAGTGCGAAGGAGAGGCTCTCTTACGCTGGATGAGACATGGGCCAAATCATACGAGTCACAAATACAATGCCAATTGAACAAATGGCATCATTACGGGTCACCACGAAAATCAAAAGTTCGTCAGAACCCCAGCAATGTGAAAGTTATGGTGATACTAATGTACGACTGTGATGGTGTTATCCTAATGCATGCCGTTCCCCGTTCCGTTCGTATATATAAAAGAGAAGATTTAAAATACTTGTAATAAATTTCACATAAAAGGTTAAACTTAATATTATGTTAAAATTCATATATACTACACAAACCAGATATAATTGGATGGTAACTTACATTCTGTTCTAAAACATAAGACTTCCATTTCAGTATTGTTCCAGCACTGTTTAGACCAGTGGTTTTCAACCTTTGCTGGGCTGTAGCCCAGTAAATTCGTTTTTTCTATAAGACAAGGGCCCTGTATAATTGATGCCAAGGCCCGGTGATTGAGAAACACTGGTTTAGACATGAGGTGACTACCTATCTCTTTGGTAACATAACCTGAAAGTGCAACATCACTAATGCCAAAGCCTGCCAGCTGCCATGATTCAGCAGCATAAAATCACATCTTCAAGTTTAGGTCGGTGATTGATTCCATGGTGACGTTGCGCATTGCCAGTAATTGAGTCCACAGTGGTCCACACACATATGAGAGTCCATGTTTGCTGCATATTAGGCTATGTGATGTATCTACTAAATCCACTAGCACAGATATACATACATTGCAAGTCTGTCTTAATGTCTTGGTGAAGTCTTTACATATTTATCAACTACATGACTACCTTGTCCTAATCCAGAACTTTCTATCCCTCTGTTAGCAAATGTTTTGAGTGTCATGGTGGAGCCTGAAAAGGATGATACTTCTAGCTACATGTTCTAAATTCTTACCAAAATTCTAAGTGAGCTTGAAACTTAGCAATATACTTTGGTGTGGGAGGGACAACATGGCCACATACATGGCACATTTTCTGACTGACAGACTACAGGTAAAGTCAGGTAAAGCTATCCTTGTAACAGGCCCTGAAGGCCCACAGCGCCGTGAAACGTCAAGGCTCCCACATTATCTAGACAATCGACTCAGGGATGGCAATGAGGCGTCAGCCTTATGCGCTGGCTGCCCTTTACCCCCAGGAAGATTCCTTGTACTCATTTGTGCTAGGGGCTGAGTCAACCCCAGGGGTGTAGTGCAGCTGGAAGGATTAGGTCAACTGAAAAATCCAACGACATCCTTGGGAATCTAACATGCAACTTTCATGTGTGTATCATAATGCTTCAACCAATTATCCAGTTTTACATTTTTCATAATTTAACACAATTTGTGGTCCCAAATAAGTTATCAGAGAACCACATTTAACCTTTATCGGATGGGCCATTTAATTTCTGGTAGGGGCAGCTGGACGGAGTTTATTTAAATGCCCGCCCTTCTAGAGCAATGAAATTGTAAGCATGTTTCTAAAAATGGTGTGATTTCTACATTTTTATGATAAACGAACGAAATGAACGCTCCTTTAATGTAGAAAGAATATAGAATCAGATATTCTAATTTACAGATTTTAATATCTGTAAAAAAATGTTACACTCATTCCAAAAAAAAAATCCCAAAATTCATACATTTTCTGCACCACGTGTTCTTGCAGTGTAATACATTTTCTGCACCGTGCGTTTTAGCAGTGTAAGTCCTTGTGGCGGCCTCACATACCGTCACATACAATGCCTATCTCTTGTTGAAGCTTATTTATCATGGGACATGTCGCTATGCACGGCTGTTTACGTCTGAAAATCCTCGCTGTCTAATGTGTTAGATAAACACAGGAGGAATATGGTGTTGCCAGATCGGTAATTCGTTCATTCATTGCAGTCAAACCATTGTGTTTGTAACGATTTTGAAACATCGCAATATAAGGTTAGCCACCCATGACAT